TGTACTTTTCTTACTATAGCGTATTTCTTCTCATGTCTATCGCTGTGACCATGTGACCTCAGCTTCCCTTCACTTGAATTCACACGCTGTTTGCTGACTCACTTATTGACTTTCTTTGAGTAATTACCTGGCTTAGCAAATGATTACCATTTCTGCAGATCCATTTCATTAAGATTTACGGCAAATGATGGAACGGCACTTGACTAGTCAAACGTACTACATAGTATACATACATATGTATTTACATACGAATATACCTACCTTAATATATTCTTGTTCATGTATATTAGTCTTCGTCACGTTCCATATAAAAAAAAAAAAAAACTATTCACCTAAGTCGAATGAAATGTGGAATTTTATCAATTTTGTAACTCCCATCAATCGAGAAAATTGCGATTTCTCAGGGTATTTCCAAAGCTCCTTTTTTAATTCTACCAACATCTGAAATATAGTTCAACGTTTCATATATTTTGATATCATTTCGCAGTACATACCAATTTCATGAAAATGGAATAACTCAGCCATTTTTTTTTTATCTGTTTTTCACTTTTGAGCTACCCATGAAAGACTATTATTTATGATTTCACTTTTTGAAAAATTCTTCCATTCGAACAAATTTCTTATTATGGTTTTCATGGAGCTAAACTGATTTATTAATAAAGAAATAGTGGTGTCAAGAGGAAACCTCGTTTCCTTAATAAATATAATAATAATTTCTTGCTTCTGTTCAAGTTCGTGCATTCTTTGTCGTATTCACAACGTAAAAGTTCATGATGTAGTCACTTGTTTTAGCAAACAACTATGTGTAAGCAAAATGTTTTGCGTAATCAGCGTTGACGTGTTTTTAAAGCAAATGTACATACAAATAGTAAATACTTACTCAGTTATCTGCGCAGGGGGGCAACACACCTGATTGCTTAACATTTTGCGAATATGCTAAATTTTAACTTAGTACTCACCCGTGTGCCCAGGTTAGCCTTTTTGACTTTAGATTCAGCAGTTATATTTTTGCTCTAGCTTCAGAATTTTAGGTAAAGCTTGGTGGCTTTTTTTTAATTCTACCTTTTTTATAAGTATGTTTCATCTTTTTAATACTACTAGTGTTCGCCCAGCGGTTGAAATTCAACCGCTAAAATTAAGGATAGTTTATGTGAGTTGAGTTGAGCTGAAATAAAATTTGTTGGAATGGGTTAAGTGGAGGGGAGTTTAGCTTAGTACTTAGCATAACATAACATAGAATAGCATTAGATTCAATAACATAACATATGTAGCATAACACATCACAATATAACATCGCACATTCTTCAGTTGTATTTCCTTTTTATCCCTATCACTTTCTTCCTCTCTATCTTTGTCTCTATCGCTTTTAATGTTTATGTTTATGTTTATCTACACCTTCATGTTCATGTTCATGTTCAAGTTCATGTTCACGTTCATTTTCATGTTCATTTTCATGTTCATGTTCATGTTCATGTTCATGTTCATGTTCATGTTCATGTTCATGTTCATATTCATCTTCATCTTCATTTTCATCTTCATCGTCATCTTCATCTTCATCTTCATCTTCATCTTCATCTTCATTTTCATCTTCATCTTCCTCTTCATCTTCATATTCACCTTCGTCTTCATATTTATCTTTTCCTTTATCCTGATCTATATCTTCATTCTTATCTCCATTTACGTATTTACCCCCACCGTTGTTATTAGGTTAGGTAGTTAAATTTTCCTTCCTCTTTTTCTTTATATTGTTTCTTTAGTGGTATCATGTCATGTGTTGAAATTGGGTGTGGTGAGTTGCAGTGTGCAGGGTGTGGGAGTTACGGTGTTATGAATTCAGGTGTGGTGGTCTTAAGAGGTGTGGTGAATTTAGTTGTGGTGAGTTGAGGTGTGGTGAATTAAGGTGTGGTGAGTTAAGGTGTGGTGAGAAAGTTGAGGTGTGGTGAATTAAGGTGTGGTGAGTTAAGATGTGGTGAGAAAGTTGGGGTGTGGTGAGTTACGGTGTGGTGAATTAAAGCGTGGTGGATTTAGGTGTGGGGAGTTAAGGTGTGGTGAATTAATGTGTAGCGAACTCAGGTGGAGTAAGTTTTTAAGCGGAGGTGAGATGAGTTGAGGTGAGTTAAGTTAAGTTAAGGGGTTAAGTTAAGATAAGTTATCTTTATCGTTATATTCATATTCATCTTCATCTTCTTCCTCGCCTTGGTCTTCATCTTCTTCTTCATCTTTATCCTTTCCTTTATCCTGATCTAAATATGTCCATTCTTTTCTTCATTTACATATTCACCCCCACCATTGTTATTAAGTTAGGTATTTAAATTTTCCTTCCTCTTTGTCTTTATATTTAGGTTTCTTTACTTTTATTTTAATTTCTGTATTTATCCCTTTCTTCTTCTCCATACTCAAAATTATCTCCATCCTTGTTTGAGGCTAATCTATTCATGTACATACATACATACATCTTATTCCTAAACTGCTGCTTAGCACGTTTCTTTAATTCACTATCAATATTAAAGCATACATTTAGGAGGCATTTCCGCCCCAACCATGTACATGTATGGCATTGGTATTGGTGTGACTTTTGAATTGATTTTTTCGCTCTATTTTAAACTAATTTGAAATTTTAAAAATTGCCTGCACATCAGCATCAAAATACCTTTCTAATGATATATAATTGTTTATACCTTAGAAGTACAGTTTAGCCGTAAAAGGGGTGTAAAGGAAACATGATTGCCTATTTATATAATTGATGAAAAAAAAACGATTTTATAGAAATGTTTAAAAATTTTGCGGTCAACTATCCACCATGCTTTTTTCTCTTATTACCTATCCGGAAATGTTTGACTAATGATTTTGAAGCCGTAAATAACTTGCTGAATACTTTCCTTACACATAATCATAAATAATCCAATATAGAATATCTTTTTTTACTTCAATATCAAAATTTCTACGATGCTACCATCAATACGTTTTCTTTCAATTGAAAAATTGACAATTAAATTAGCAAACTGACTGTTCGTGGCAGGCAATATTTATCAAGAGAACAGCTCTGATAATTATTGCTTTCCATAAGCAATATGCTATCTACATTGTCAATATATTTGCCTGATAACATTACCAAGATAAATATGGTTGCCTATGAGGATGTCCCGTTATTTCCGTCATAAAACCAGTCGGCAGGGCTTTTTAAGTAAACCCTTACCTTTGAAAGCTCTATTGGATGAACTTCCAAAAGCTATGCTATTCGAAAGCAGTTGAGAAGGAAGAATTGGAGCATGCGTGCCACGGTGTTATGGAAAAAAGTTAAATTGGTACTGCGTCATAATTAAATATATCGTAAAAAGTGTCTCCTTTAGAAGGCCTGCAACTTCCATATAAAAAAAAAAAAATAGTAGAGAGTCGAGCACAAAGTTCGGAAAACAGGCCGCTCAAGGCCGACAGGGAAGGTTTGTGCGAAAATTTTTTTAAATTAATTTAATGAATACCATTCACTTGAATCTCTAGAGGTGCTGTTAAATATTTCCGGTATAAAAGTAATGCATTTTTTACGCTTATTTTTCCACTGCCCTTTTTCAACCTTTTTTTATAACTCAATTAAGCTTCATTTTTTCGTTGTCGCCTGGTCACACTGGTAATCACTAACAGAGTTCAAAGCTACCGTTCGGTTAACTTATTTAGTAAATGCTAACAGAGTCAAAAAATGTTCTCATTAAACGCTTACTGTTAACAACCCTGTATCTCATACAGAGAATGTTAATAAAATTATATGCGTTAATGTAGTATTTACAGCGCTTAGTAGCATGTTATGTTATCAAGGCTGTTACCATAATAAATGTCAACAGAACTAGAAATTTCCTTCCACTAAATAACAACCATCAATAACATCGCTTAGTCAGAGAATGTTAATATAATGAGAAGCAGCGAATATTGATGTTAATTTTTTTATTACTAACAAATTCTGAAAGATTTGAGATGTAGGAATTCATCAAACAAAATATAAAATCACCATATAATTTTTTACCAAAGAAAGAGATGAGACTATTCACCTTTTTGCACTTCCTCTTGCGAAATACCGTTAGACTTAAAATGTTAATTGGCTATTTTTAGATTTTTTATAAAGAAGAAATGCGCCAAAATTTTGAGAAAAAAATCATGTAATTGTAAAATAATATATGTATTTGTAAAAAAAAAAATAATAAATGCTAACATAATTAGAAATTTCCTTGAACTAAATAACAGCCATCAGTAACATCGCTTAGTTGCAAATTAACAGCATTCAGTTCTAAGTAATTAGTCTGTTCCTTTGAACTTCGGACTAAAACCTGTGGAACTGTCAAACTACAATTTTACGCTCTCAAATGAGAGTAAAAGGAGAGCAGATGCAGAAGTGCATAGGAACGCAAAAAGCACTATTTCCTGTAAAAACGTCAGACGGTTTGTTTACATGTCATTGGCACTACACTGATTTGGCTGAAATATCACTAAATAATTAATAAAATCTATACATATTTAAATATTTCGTTGTTTACTTCCATTTTATAACAAATATAAGGTTCTTTGCTTTCACCGCTTTCTGTTTTTGTTTGCACATGTAAATCAGCTGATCGTTTGACACTTTTCATGAACTTACAGGAAAAAAATCTCCGGACTAAATCCTGTAACTTCTGACTAGGAACAGTTGCTCAGTTACTCTCTCAAATGTGTTCCCACTTACAGGTTTTATGTCAATAGGAACGACTTCCTGTAAGTTCTGACTAAATCCTGTAAACCGGACTGCTATTGGAACAGACTAAATGCTGCTAACATTTTGCTTACTTTTGCCAGCATTCGAATGCATTGCGCTGTAGCGAACAGCTATTATTATAATACATGTTCACTGGCGCTGTTGCTGTCATACTGTAAACAAACTGGTTCGCCTGTGTAGCTCGTTAATTACCCGGTCGTATGTTATTGCTTTTGCCGGTAAAACACTGTTGTCGAATGAAAATTTCCCTCAGTTTTAGTTTGGCTGCGTGTAGCAATGGTTTGGTGTGAATTAATGCATGCGATGTGCAGCTCGTCAAACCGGAAATAAACGTGCATTGAATATGTCGTAGTTGCGAATAAACAAAAAAAAAACCAAAAGTTGAAAGAATTTCAATAAAAACGTAGTGTATGAAATGTGGAAAATGTAAAAATTCCGCCAAATAGCGAGAATTGTAACATGTAAAATGGTGGGAAGTGACATATCATGAATCTGCAACAAAAAAAAAATGCAGCTGTTTAACACACACACATTAAACAAGTTTGTATTTTGCAAAACAATTTATGCGTCCTGAAACTCAAAACTCAAAATTGTTGCTGTTGCGAATATGGATGTATATTCAACAAAAAATTGCGTGCATAAAATACAAATAATGCCATAGAAAATGTAAAATTTTAACAATAACGGCTTGAAACCTTATTCTACTTCAACAATCATCGGTAAACTGGTTTGTTTAAATGAAATTGGTGAATTTCATCATAACATTGATTATGTCATGCAAATTGTTGTATTGAATTAGTGATTGCTGGTACACAATGTTAGAAACTGCGAAACAAATTTATGCAGAAATATTTATTTTACAGCTCATTCAATATTTGCAGGTGACTAAAGCACAGCAAAACGCTACCAATAAAGCCCCAAAAGCAAAAGTGTGTTACGACAAATCAAATGTCTTAGTCACATATTAACAAATATTTACACATGCAAATTATTCAATGACGCTGCAGCAGCAAAAAATAAAGTGAACGAAAGAATCAATAACAAAAATTTTCAACTTTTGCAAAAATTCAAACATTAAATAATTGACAAAAAACGATTAAGCTTTTGATATGACAAGCAAACGCATATAAAATCCAAATAAAATTCGGTGTTAAAGCAACAAAAAAAAAGCTACTCTTTTGTGCTACAAGTGCTCAGAAAATTGTGCAACTCTAATAATTTGATTAGACAAGTTTTGAAAACTCTCCAACATCACTTACTCGGATACGCTTTGGAATACTCAATTATATTCAGTACTTTGTTCAAATCATCCGAAATTACTGCAATAAAATGTTGGCTGTCAAAAATTTCTTCTTACCCGAGCGCACTACAACGGCCGCTAAGCCGCCCGAAACACCGCAACGTTTCTCACGAATGCCAGAAGCTTTTCTACGCTCCATACGACGGCGTTCATTGCGTGTAAAACGCGCCAAAAGTTTGGTGGTACCCGATCGCGAGAAGCGGAAATCAGGTGAGGTAGCGTGTTGTTTTGCGGAGTAGAGGGTTAGGGGAATGGAAACGTAACTTACCCGCATAATAGCCAATTAAGGGAAACAGTAACTAAATTTAAAAAAAGTGTTTCTTAACAAAATATAAATTTTTGTATACAATACGAAAAGCTTCAAGCTTTCACATTGCTCATTATCGAAAGCTCAAAGCTCTCGACTTCCACTGAAAAAAATTAGTATTTCGCCCTCACATTTATGCTAAGTTTTGAATAGAGCTTCCAAACTGTCATGAGTTTGCAGAGCTTTCACTTTTCTCGTTTACGAAAGCTCAAAGTTCTCGAATTATATTGACATGCAATGGAATCATATCTAATTCTTAACTATGAAATACGAGAAATGAGAAAATTCAGATTTCGAAAATTTGTGTATCCTTAATTTTTTCCATTTTAATTCAAAGAAATTACATGATCTTGAAAAAAAAAATATTTCAAAAAATTTTAAGCATGAATTTTATTTTCTAGAATATGAAAAAAACTGCTTATCTGTAAAATTTTGGTTGAAAATTTTTTCAACATGTAATTTTTGACTCCCACTTATACTTAACCATTGCACGATCTTCTCCAAAAGATTTTTAAGAACTTTATTTTCCTATATAGATATGTTCCCCAATTTTACTGATATAATTATTTTTTCCCACTTAAATTTAAAGAAATTGCACGATTTTGACCAAAAGATATTTTTAAAAACATTAGCATGAATTTTATTTTCCAGAATATGAGAAAAGCATTGTCAAATGTTGGTTGAAATTTTTTTCAAAATATAAATTTTTGACTCCCACTTATGATTTTGACGCTGAGAGGTATTATTTCAGTCCCTAAATTTCTCCATATAAATCTATAAGAAACTGCACGATCTTGACCAATAAATATTTTAGAATGTTATTTTCCTGAATATGGGAAAAACCCCGTTTTATTGATTTCATATTTTTTTTTTCATTGGGATTTAAAGAAATTGCCCGATTTTGACCATAAATTATTTTTTAAAATTTAAGCATGAATTTTATTTTCCAGAATATGAGAAAAGGTTTGCTAATCTGTCAAATTTTGGTTAAAACTTTAATAATTCGAATCTCGAAAATAAGTTCGATTTTGGCGTCCGTAAATTTTTTCCATTTAAATTTCCAAGAAACTGCACGATCTTGACCAAAAAAAAACTGAATTTCCCTTATTTCATTGGAAATCGTTCTAATGAAATCTGCAAAAATACTTAATAAATTTCCTTCCTAAATTTTTTTCTTTAAAATTCTAGCTTGTACCGCTAATCCATCATATTTTTATTTTTTTTTTAATATTTTTTTATTATATTGTTTTTATTATATATTTTTTCAATACTGCTGGCCCAAATTCGCCGTACGCCTCGAATTGTCAGCTAATTTGTGTTGGTTGTCACAAATTGTGACATTAATTTTGTGGCCAACACGACTTTTATGACTTTGGAACAAGCAATATAAAAATCACCAAAATAGAATCATGTATGGAAAAAGAACATTTGGGCTTTGTACACAATTGGCGAATAACAATTTTTTATATGTACATACACAAGTATATGTATATGTTTTTGTTACATGTGTAGGTTATTATGCCTAAGCCAAGAGTCAATATTGTAAATCATTGCAATGTTGCACACACGAGTGCAACAGTGCGCTACTTATTGTAAGCTGCTACTGGTTAAACAACAGCTGCTTGAATGGCTGGCTCACTGCCTATTAAGCAGCAAGAACAACAACAACAAGCATTACTTTTTTTTAACACTTTGGTGTTAACTGCTGGCAATAAAACAGTCGCGCATGCGCTAAATAAACACTTGACGAACGGCGCCGCGGCGTTTGCCAATTTTTTTAACAACCACAAATGAGTGTTGAAAACGCCGGGCGAAGGCGAGGAGGGACGGTATGTTAAGTGGTTGTTCGATTTGTGCTAGCCAAAACTTTTCACTGTTAATTATTATATTGCAATTTCAAATATATTTTAAAAAATCGTTGTTTAATCTCAACCCACTTATGAAATTTTTTTCTTTTTTCATCTATGCATTTTCGTTTTTCTTTTCTATTAATTTCGCCTCACTTGGCCCGCTTTTCACGTCCATTGCTCGGTTGTTAAGCAGTAATTGCTGTAAGTGCTTACCTAATTGCTTTTATTGCAATTTGTTAACTTTTTTCTAGCCTTAATGAATTTAGGGTTTGCCTTAGCAACTGCAGCGTGAGCAACGGAAATGCAAGCATCCATAAACTTTAGTAGCGTTTTTCCGCTTCACTGTGGTTTCTGCTTACCAACTTACCACTGCAGCGGTGCATTGGTTGAAAAGCTAGCAAAGCGTTGGTTTTACCTAACTTCCAATTCAATGGCATACTTGTTTGCAGCCAGTAAATTTTGTTGTTGCAATTGCAAGAGCAATTAAAAGTTGCCAGTCGTATCTGTTTTGTGGTTATTTGACTGCTGTGTTTTTTCGATATGTTTTCATGCTTTCAATATCCCTGACCACTTTTACTTATTTGTTTTTTTTTTTCTTATTTTTGACTACTGTTTTGCCGGCTCCGCTTATTTCCTTTTTTGCTGTTTATAAGCGGTTTTATGGCGTGTTTAACTAAGTATGTGTATGGTTGTCTGCTTGTTTAAGCCTTACTTTGCTTGTTTTTTGAAACTCAAGCTTATTCGGAAGTGTGATAAGCTGGTTTTGTTTTTGTTTGCTTTTAATGAAAATTTTCAAGATCATCTTCCTTGTTTCGTAATGCATTACTATAAATTTTTTGCTTAAGGTAGGATTGTATCATCTAGATAGGCTATACTCCGACTTGTTCGATATATATTTTACCTATAGAATTTTCGCTTTTAACAGAGGCTGAACTGAAAAATTCGCTTTAAGAGTATCGAAACTTAACTGAATCTTGGAAAAAAATGCGCAACTAGTCGGTTAGGCGCTTGAGCCTGGATTAATATCCATGGGGCGAATCTGACCTCCGCGCTTTCAATATATTCGGAAAGCAATTTTTTTAAGCGACTGGTTTCTTTGATTATCCTTTCGAGTATAACAGAGCACAATTTGTTGCACCGCGTTTCACTATTCGCGCCGAAGAGTAGCACATTTCATTAGAGATAGGTTTTAAACTATTCCACACGTTTTACTAATTAAGTAGCCCTCCAGCCAAGGTTTTTTTTCCAGGAAGAAAGGAATGATGTTAATGGGTATATAGTCCACGAAGGAAGGCTGGAAATAATATTACAATCATTCGAGAGCAAACTATGTAGGGAAATTCGGCCTTATAGCGAATCCCATTCCAAAAAATTCCGATACAAAAACCATTTTTGCCAATTTGTTTTTGTTTCGCCGTTAAAATTACGGGAGCGATATATTCACATGAAATTGACGAAAAGGCTGACTATCTTCATTTTTGGAAAGCCCAGAGATCAGGAACTCTCAGAGTGATAACTAACTAACTATGTATATTGAAGCAGTTTCATTTTTATAGTTCAGTCAGAGACTACAGAAACTCATTAATGTAAAAAATACAATTCAGTTTCAAAAGTTTGGTATGAAAAGCCCAAAAGCGGCGATGACTATAAAAATAATCAACCACAAATTCTGTCTCTTTCGATTATAAAATTAATCTTGCTTGCTCTCAATTTTTGCATAATTTACATCAATGATGATCAGAGAGAGCTTTTATTTTGCGCGTGTCTCTTCTTTAAGCACATCCTGTGGGAGAACGTTTTAAAAGCTTTCCGTACAATTTAGATGCTCTTAAAGCTATATAACCTTATTTATGAAAATTAAAATAGGTTTAAGATTTACATATAAAGCAGTTAAAGTCTTCTTTAGTTTTTATAAATTTGGCTGATAAGCCACAAGATCTTTGAAAGCTCTTTCTGGTCATCTGTGATATAAAATCTACAAAGGGCCCTAAAAAGCTTCCCCAGCGGGCAGTGTTGCCGTAATTACAGTTTTAATTGTAAATTCCAGTTTTTTAGATAAGCTTACAATTTCCAAATAACCTCTTAGTACAAATTACGGTTTTTTTTTCAAAATTTTAGATTTAAACGAATAACTTAAAAAGGGGCAATGGAGGTGCAGTTTTCCCTTTTTGAGAAAAAAGGTTTCAGCTGCTCTTTGCATTCCAGTAGCCGCAATAAATGTTGAAGTAATGTTTTACCAAATGAATTTAAATAAAGCCAAAATTAAAAAATCAAGCACTCTATGGTATTTTAAAAACTAAAGATCTCGTACCCCTCTTATTTTTGTAGACGTAAACAACACAAGTCGTCACCTCGTCTGTTTTTGAGAATTTACAGTTTTTTTTTTAAATCTGCCAAAACTGTTTGTAATTTGTAATACCTCAGTTATGCATACTTTACACTGCACTGCATGGCATGCCATTCTTACTTAGACATCAAAATCCAACAGACTTCTGCATATGTAATGTTGTGGTTGGGTGTATTTTGTATGGCGAATCTTTGCACGCCTTGGGCGAGGCGTTAATGTTAATATTAGGGGTTCAAATTTTCAGACAGTTTTTTAGGTGTTTTGCACAAAACTTCAAGGTAGGAGTGAAAAAAAAACAATAGTCGCAAAAAAAGCACCCTAATGTACATATATCAACGATCGGCAGAGGGAGCTTTTACTCTGCACGCCCCTATACAAAATGTATAAAAAGCTTAAAGAGCTTTGCCCGAGGGCAAGGCGGTACCCATCACCGACATATAGACGTAGCATGATTAATTAAAATGTAGTTGAGAACTGCAAGACACATTTATTTACAAATTCGCTTAAGTATGCTGCTACGTAAACGTCACACTGTAGAGCAACAGTTTCTAACAGAGTTACATATGTATGCATAATGATAGACAACCAGCTGTGAGTTGTTGCAGCGTTGACAGTTGTCAACATCATTTTTACTAGTTTCATAAATAAATAAAGAATTATGCACACACTTGCATACTTACCTACTTACATACATACTTATGAATGC